GGTGTAAGGAAGAGCTCCAGAGGCTGCCTCCCCAGCATCCACTCCCACTTCTCTTACAACCATTTGCATTTTTTTGTTGTTATTGCTTACTGTTACTATCCACATCCTCCCACAGAGTGTATGTACTTTGAAAGAATATCTCTCTACTCACAGATTGAGAAAGGGGGCATATGGCTCAGGCCTAAGCTAACCAGCCCAGTCCCATTCCCTGATCATTGTTAGTGTTTCAGGTGTGGACACATAGCCCTATAAGGGCTGAGGTAGTGAATATGAACCTGACAAGAGAAAAAAGAAACCAGGCACTTGTTTGCCTAATTGAGCCTCTCAATTATATTAACCTTGCAGCTTCTGAACTTCCAGCTGTGGGACCCAATAAATCCCATTTATTGTTTAAATAAATGGGTTAGCTTTTCTGCGACTTGCAAAGACATTCTAGTTTATACAATGAGGAACTTTAGTATTACCTACGAGAAATATTTTGTAAGTACATGCTATTCCCTAGAATAGACGGACAAAAAATATATGTATCTCTGCATGAGGCTTTTTCACTTCAGAAAACAGTTTTTCATCTTGATATTAATGGCCAATGCTACTAGGACCAAATTCTTGCCTCTTATAATCCCCAAATGGGCATTACCACTGCCAGCTCTAAATTTCTACTTCCTCAAATCCTAAAAGTTAGACCCAAACCTTTACCAAGAAAATTTAACAAGGCATAAAAAGTACAAGTCTTTAGTTCAAATGAAAGACATGTTCACCTCCTTTAACTGTACTTTGTCACCATTTTGAAATAGTCTTCCTGACTTTAACTACAATTACATTCTTGTTCCCTGAGCTTCTGCTTTGCTCACTCAAAACTTTGTTTATCCTGTTACACTGTTTAGTGTAGGTTATCAAGAACTGTCAAGAGTCTATTTTACTCTTCCTGTAAGCTAACAAATTAGCCTATGTAAAGCTACATGACTACAACAGTTGTCGGGTTAGGGCTCAAACCCTTCAAACCCATTGTACAGACTGGGTCCCCAGACCCCTCACATGCAGGTCCATGCTAGGGAACTGGGAAAGATCCCGGGAGCTGTTGGCAGATAACATGAGCTCAGTCCTCAGCAATGGCAGCACCAGCTTACAGGTCTGGAAGTGGTGGCAGCCTCTAGAAGGGTCCTGGGGACCCTGGCAGCAACTGCCTCCAGCAGCAGTAGCAGCCTCCCCATAGCCCCCCTGAGGAATCCTGGGGGTGGGCCCATGGATCAGAGCCACTCATCCTTCACACTTAAGTCTATAATGCAGGACACCTGGGTGCACATGTGCAATTACATTAGACAATAACCAAGGAACACCTGGGCGCACGTGCATATTTACATCAAATGCTCAGCAAGATTCTGAACATCTGAGGGGCCTTGACCATTTTCTTGTATTTTCCCAACAGCCTACCACAATTTCATGGATCAATAGCAGTAACCAGAATATCAGCATTTTTTTTGCACTGTTTACCCACTTGGGCCAGATAACACCTGCACACATGCAGTGGGGTGTGGTACAGGACAAGAAACTTAAGTGCAGGAAACCCTAATCTTTTATAATGGGCAGTGAACATGACTCTGCTCCTGAGAGAGAAACTATGTCTATTTTCCATGACCGTTCACTATACAAACATCTCTGACATCTTGGAGGATAAAAAAAAAAAAAGATTTTAATAGGAAATACAGTACAAAAGAATTTATAGCCCAAATCATCACCGTCATCATTACTATCAGAGTTGGATTAAGATTTGTGGACTTTCTCCAGGAAAGCAAACAATTTGGCACCTCTTCTAAAGGTTCTATTTTAAATATTTGTACACTGTTGGAGATTGAGAATCCTGTGACTTTGCATGGGAGTGGGTGAGAGTAGATAGGTGCTGTTGGTGGTAACACGTATGCTTGCTCACCTTACTTCCATCACAATCCACTAATCCTCACATGGTATAGATACCTGCTGCTTTTCTGATGTCTCTCTCACCCTCTTTCCAAGTGCCTTATCTCTCCTACCCCATAAAGTATTCTCCTTGGAAAGAGTGCAATAAAAATAGTTTTTTTCCCACCAAAGTCCAGGGTTCGATCCCTGTAACAGCCAGCCACCAAAACAAAAAGTTTTTTCCATCTCATATTTCTCTGATATTTTTGTTTGTTGCCTTTGGCAGCTGGCTGGTACAGGGATGGGGCCCTGAACTTTGATGTTATCAGCATCACACTCTAACCAACTGTGATATTTTAGTATGTAGAGAAGGTTTAGCATCCTTTATGGTATGCCACCCTGGACAACTGCCAGACAGGCTCATCCCTTAATCTAGCCCTAATCACTGCCATCATCATGAACAGTAGCTCTGAGTTGACTATTTATTGTCCTTAGTACCATGTTAATCAATGATCTAAGAGAAATAGGGAGGTAGGAAGGAATCAATATTTTGTGCTAGATGCTGTTCTAAGTACATTATTTCATTTAGTCATCACAATTCTAGAACTAAGGTTCAAAGTGGTTAAGCAACTTGCATCATGGTAATAAATGACAGAATCAGGTTTAAAATTCTAGGTATACAGGGCCAGCCCATGGCTCACTTGGGAGAGCATGGTGCTGACAACACCAAGTCAAGGTTTAAGATTCCCTTACTGGTCATCTTTTCTAAAAAAATTTTTTTAGGGCCGAGCCTGTGGCGCACTCAGGAGAGTGCGGCGCTGGGAGCGCAGCAGTGCTCCCGCCGCGGGTTCGGATCCTATATAGGGATGACCAGTGCGCTCACAGCGCTCACTGGCTGAGCGCGGTGCGGCCGGTCTCCAAAAAGGACAAAAAAAAAAATTTTTTTTAAAGTAAAATTTTAGGTATATACGACATCAAAATTCATGGTAAGTTCAGAAAACTTGTTTTGGAATTTAAGAAAGTTGCAACTCAATTGGAGAGAAAAGCTCTGTGCAATGAAAGAATATTTCTAATATATGCTGAGTATTAAATGTGATTATAGACAATAAGTGCTGCAAGAAAATTTTCCTAGTTAAAATAATTACTGCCATACTCTATATTAGTACAGTACTTTAGTCCTATCACTCGCTCCTCTGTGTACAAGAATGGACCAAGAACGGTTTTCTGAGGAAGGTTTTTAGCAGAGTCCATAGATAGCGCAGCGTTCATTTTGGTACTTGCCTTGGTTGTGCACCTTAATTTTCACAAGAGGAGTTTAATTTGACTTGGAACATGACTCTGCTTTCTACTTTAAAGAAAAAACATAAGCTCTCAGACTAGAACTTCCTCGACCTCTTTGAACTTCTTACCCCAAAACTTACTTGCACCTGCGCCCATTCTTAACTCCTTGTTTCTGGTCACAGTGGAAGAGATGCCCGTTCCTATATATACATATATAACATAACATAATATATGTACAGCTGATTCCTACAGTTCCCTCTTCAGGTCCCGACTCCATCAGGTATCATTTCTTGGATCATGAGTTTAACCATTAAGCCTCTACAAGCTCTTTCCTGTCAGCGTTTAAATATGCCCCTGCCTTCGCCTTCTTTAAAAAACCACAGGAAAACCCTTCCTTGATCATATATATATGTACATGATGTAAAGAATTGTCTGTACACGTGGTTTTCCCTTCCTATTTCCCATTAATGCATTAACCCATACAACCTGGTCAACAAAGTAACATGGGCCAAAACTGTGCCTCAGTTTCCTCATCTGTAAAATGGGAATAATGAGGATTAAATGAATTATTATACATGAAGCACTTAGAATAGTGCCTGGCACATACTAAGCCCCGTAAGTGTTTATTATTATAATCATTATTTCTTAATTACACAGCTCCAAGAGTATAAGGATAAGAATTGGGAGAGTGCCAGCCTCACAGTTTTGCCCCAGCAAACAACAGATACAGCTGTAGGAAAGAGTTTTAAAAGCACATTCCAGTAAATGACTTAATAGGTTGTAAACTCCAGTCAGGCATGTCTCCTATTCTCTGTAGTATTCCCAGAACTTAACACAGGTCCGCTATATGGTAAATACTCTCTCTCTCTCTCTCTCTCTCACACACACACACACACACACACGATATATATATATATATATTTGTATTTTATATATATTTTAACCTCTTAAAATATGAATGTTGTATTCTCACACACACACACACACACACGATATATATATATATATTTGTATTTTATATATATTTTAACCTCTTAAAATATGAATGTTGTATATATAAATGAACAGACACTTGACAGCCAACAATAATAGAATACTTCTACCTCAAAAAAGGACTTGATAAATCCTCAGGCTCAGTATATTTAATTTTTTTTAAATTTGGTAATCTTTATACTTTTTTTTTTCCAGAATTAACCATGAGTCACACACGCTGTCAGAGGCTTTTTTAATCCAAGAACGGACGAAAGATCCCGCTTGCTCAGTAAATGTATCTTTCATAGTTTAAAAAAATTAAGTACACACTGCTAGTTTTATCTAACAAAAACAAATCGAAGTTTATGACAGCAAAGCAAAGGACTAGCTGCCTCCCGGTCTCCAAGGAGACGGAAGAGAGCGCGGCGCGGGGACGCGGGAGTCTGACGTCACGTGAGGCGGAGGGGAGGGGGGGTCTGGACCACACGCTCTACTGCGCATGCTCGCCACTTCCCCGGCCCAGGGCTGGCGCAGTGCGCATGCGCGCCCGGGTCAGCGGGTGGGCGGGTCTGACTGGCGGCGCAGTCGGTCAACGGCGTTGGTGGCGGGAAAGTTGAGTCCTTAGTGCGCTGAGCCTTCGGGGCGATGTGCAGTGACTTCCATAGGGCTGAGTCTGGGACCGAGGTGAGAGCGGCCGGGGTGGGAGCGAGGGAGAACAAGGCTGCTGGCGGGCGAGGGGAGCCGAGGAACCGGGCAGGCTGGGGAGGCCCGGGCGGCCTAGCCGGGCTCCGCTCCGGGCCGGGGGCTCGCGGCGCCCCGGGGTGGGGAGAGGGCGCTTTACCTAGACGCCGGCGATGCTGGCACCCCGCCCCGCCTCCCAGCTGCGCCACGGGAGTCCGGCCCCTGGGAGCCGGGAGTCCTCCGAGGAGGGAGGTCGGAGCGGACGGAGGTGGAGGAAGTCGTTCCGGGTGGACCCGAGGATTTTTAGTGCCCAGGTTGATGGAAGATACGAGGTCTCTCCTCGCAAGGATTATGGCGTAACACCTGTCACAAGTTGACTTCTGCTAGAGAGCGTGAGCTTTTCTAGAGCAGGTGGTATTTGGGTAGGTTGCTTCACCTTCTCCCTGTAGGCCACATGTCTCTGCTTAGGCATCAAGCCTTCGCTCTCCCACTATACGTTTCCAGCCTAAATATCTCCAGAGCCACACAAGCCATTTGATGCCCTGCAAGAATTTCTTCAGGAATTGAACCAACAAGTGTCTAGCACTTACTGTGTGTGAACCAGAAGTTAAAGGATAGGAGTAAGAAGCAAAAGACACAACTTCTGCCTAAGGACTAGTAAGGGAGGCTGCATTAAAAATTACAGGATGTGTAGTAAAAGCAGGCTTCCAACAGAGGGATGGACATAGTGGAAGACGAGCTTCAGGAGAAGATGACAAGTTTTAAGAACCATGTGAAGTGGTTTGGCAGGAGGGGATGACATTCAAAGCAGAGTTGCGAGTACACAGGTTCCGAGTTAAGCAGGAGTATGGCTTACTTAGGGGAACTGCAAGTAGTTCTGCATAGTCGGATTGAAGAGGGTGACGGAGAACAGCGTTGGGAAGTAAGCCCTGAGAGGCAGGGTGTGAAGGATCTTTTATATAGGTGACTCCGAAAAGAGTCAGCAAACTTTTTCTGTAGCAGGCCAGATAGTAAATATTCAGGCCATGCAGTCTGTTACAGCTACTCAACTCTGCTGCTCTAATGTGAATGCAGCCAAAGACATGTAAACAGTTGAGCATGGCTGTGTCCCAATAAAACTTTATTTTTAAAGTTTTGCATTTGAACTGCTGTCCGTAGTTTGACAACCCCTGCTCCTTAAGAGTAGAGCCACTGCGTGGTATAAGAACTGCTAAAGTTAAAACCTGACTTATTTAAATGATAATTTGAAACCCAGGTTAAACTCCCATGGCTTTTGCATGCAGAACAAGCCTAACATCCAAAAAGTAGGAGTTCAGCACAGTCAAGTCATGGAAAGGAAAATTTAGCATCGTATCCTTTGTGTATCGTATTTGTCTGGAGATCCTAAGCAGGGTTGCCTAGCTCATTACCTTGGAGTAGACTAAGGTGGACCAGAGAAGAATAGGAAGCTAAGCAATTGGTGCTACTCTTTCCTTTTTATTAACAAAACCAACTAAGCAAGCCTCTTTTCCTTTAAGTGTCTTTGGGAACTGTAAGGTCACTTTAATTTGTTTGGTGGTATTTTCTTTCTTTTTTTTTTTTTTAAAGATGACCGGTAAGGGGATCTCAACCCTTGACTCGGTGTTGTCAGCACCACGCTCAGCTAGTGAGCGAACCGGCCATCCTTATATGGGATCCGAACCCGTGGCCTTGGTGTTATCAGCACCGCACTCTCCCGAGTGAGCCACGGGCCGGCCCGGTGGTATTTTCTTCCTTTGTACATTCATTTACTTCACGGGTTCTACTTGGAGGCATTGTGTAGAGGAAGACATCTGAAGCCATAAGCTTCATATCCCAAGAAACTGAAATAAGCTACTTTAAAATTTTAATTCACTAGAATTACAGTCTTATAAAATAGTTAACCTTTCTTGTGAGTAGTAGGGTCTTCAAGAAAACAAAGTTGCAAAGAATATTTTCTAAACATTTTAGAGATGCAATTTATAGTAAGCCAGATAGTGAGAGAAAAACATAATAAGCTCCTGATTCAAAGAAGATAAACATATGCGTACAATTTACAATAGAATAGTGCATTTTTACCTTGTCTTTGCACCATAGCAGTGTGGTTTTTACTTTTATATCTCACTGAGATTATTGGAAAAGATTCAGTGATTTTGGCATCATCCACCAAATGGCTCATTTGCATATAGTTAACTAATGTACTTTGCATTTTCTCAAAAATGCTGATATGCCTTGAGTTTAAAAATAATTGAATAGGGCCAGCCCGGTGGCGCACTGCTACAGTGCGCCACTTGGGAGCGCGGTGGCGCTCCCGCATTAAACCTTTGCTTCTACCTTTATAAAATGAGGGTAGGAGACTGATTTCTCAGTTCCCTTTCAGCTCTACCTCTAGGAGGTGGGCTGTTATGCTTCTTATATATCCTTTGCATTAAACACAGTATCTGCATAGTAAACACAATAAATATTCATTGATAAACAATAACTGGTTTTCTTTTTTGCCAGCAGCAAATATTACATGACAAATATTTAATATTTTTTAAAAAACAATAATTGGTTTTGTATAATCACAGACTTAGAACAACAATGCATATCCCCTTCTATCTTTGCTGCCTTTCTCTCCCATTTTAGAATCTGTGCTCCATCATTACATTCATTCCATTATAACTCTTGCTTCTTTATCCCTCAAACATACCTACTTAACCATGGTTAAACTCGACTATCTACTTTCATTGTTTCTACCCACTCAGTTGAATATTACTAGAGAAAATCACAACTAGGGTGACTGATTTCATTTTAAATTTGTAATCGTTAACCTCAAATGGGCACCCAGTCCAACTATATTCCCTAGTAATTCACTTTCTTGCTTCAGAACATCTTCATCAAATCTGACCTTACACCTGAATTCCAGACATGTGTTCTGTTATCTTCTTGACATAGCCCCGAGTATGTTTAATAGGCATCCCAAATTTAACACACCCATCCTTGATTGAATCCTGGGTCCAGGGAAAATATAATAAAGAATATATATTAGAGAAGAGTATGTATCAGTGTTAAATTTATGAGAGTGATCATTGTAATGTAATTATGCAGGAGAATGTTGTTTGGGAGATATATAGAAGTTTTTGAGGGAAAGTGGTTCAGCAAAAGACAAAATTAAAGCAAATTGGGCAAAATGTTAGCAATTGGTGAATCTAGGTGAAAAGATGTGGGTGTTCACTGTACTATTGTTACAATTTCTCTGGGGGTTTGAAATTTTTCAAAATTAAAAAATTGGGGGAGAAAACTTAGTATTCTCTATACTGAAGTCTTGGTTTATCACCACTCATGTACTCCCACGCCCCAAACTGTTTCTTGTCTTTCCTATCTTGTTAAATGCCGACTTCATTCCACCTGTTGCATAAGACAAACACCTTGCAATCACTGAATTTGCTTTTCCTCTCATATCAGTCCACACTCAGTTCATTAGCAAATACTATTTGCTATACCTTCAAAATATTTCATGAATTTGACCACTTTTCAACTACTCTACTGCAGCTATTCTTATTTATAGTCACCATCCCCTACTTTATTGCAATAACTTCCTAAGAGTTCTCTGCTTCCAACCTTTCCACACACTTGCCCTACAGTATTTTCCACATAATATCCACAGTGATCCATTTAAACCGTAAGCCAACCTTAATGCTCAAGCTTTCCAGAGGCTCCTATATCATTTACAGTAAAATCCAGAATCCTTATCATTTTCTACAGTGGTATGTCATTTCCCCTCTGCACCACCCATAACCTCTGATCTCATCGCCTGCCCTTTTTTTTTGTTTTTGTTTTTGTTTGTGACTGGCCAGTACACATCTGAACCTTTGACCTTGACGTTTTATAACACTGCTCTCTAACTCACAGGCCAGCCTATCTCCTACCTTTTTGATCTCACCTACCACTCTCCCTCACTCTTCTTCAGACACTGTTCCTTGAATATGCCAGATAGCCTCAAGCTCAGAGCCTTTAGCACCAGCTGTTCACTGCCTGGACTGCTCTTCGCTCAGAAATCCACGTGGCTCACTTCCTCACTTTCTTCAAATGCTAACTGACAGGAAGAGCCTTCCTGATCATCAGTGTAAAGCAGTTCTTCCTACTGTCAGTCAGTCTTTATTCCTTTACCTTGTTTATTCTTCTTAACACTTAACCAAACTTGACATTTTATATTGTTTATCTTTTGTCTTCCCACCTCCCTGCCATTTAAGGTTTATGAGCACAGACTTTGTTGCCTGTTGGGTTTATTCCTTTAGTCCCAGTGCCTAGAACAATGTTTACCCCCCCAGGAGGCACTCAGTAAATATTTGTTTAGTGTGAATTTTATGCCTTTCTGCTCTTCCCTCTTCTTTCTACCTTGCTTCAAGGGTCATTGAGAAAATAGAAGAAATTTGACAAGAATCCCTTAATGTTTCCTGTTGTGTCTGTTATTGATTTTTAGTTTGTTTCTATTATAGTCAGAGAACAAACTATGATTTCAGTTCTTTTAAATTTGTTGAGGTTTGTTTTATGGCTCAGGATATGGTTTATCTTGATGAATGTTATGGGTACTTAAACAATTTCTGTATTCTGCTGTTAGTGGAATGTTCTATATGTGTGAATTAGAGCCCATTGGTTAGTGTGTTGTTCAGATCTATATCCTTGCTGATTTTCTGCCTCGTACTATCAGTTGCTGAGAGTCAGGTGCTGAAGTTCCAACTATAACTGTGGCCTTGTCTGTCCCTCCTTTTCAGCTCTGTTAGTTTTGCTTCATGTATTTTGAGGCTCTTTTGTTTGAAATGTACACATTTAAGATCATTGTGTCTTCCTTATGGATTGATCCTTTAATCATTTTGCAGAGTCCCTCTGTCTCTAGTAATTCCCTTTGCTCTGAAGTCTATTGAATATTAATATGGAAATTCCTGATTTTCATCAAATCTTTATTGATAATAATATATGTACTGATTTTCTCTGAATTCCCTCCTCTTAAGATAGAATAATAATTTTTGCTCCTAAGAAAGGGCAACTTCACTTGTGATATGGATTCCATGCATCCCATTCCTCCTCCTCAAGGACATGACTCCTGCGGTTAGTCCCCCTCCTGTGGCCATTTTTCGCTGTCTACTGCATCTTCTTTTCTACCAGTCTTTTCCATTAGTAAAAACAGTAAATATAAACAAAACAAAAGACCTCACTCGAGGGCACACCTTCTCCAGTCCCATTTCTGTACTCATCCCAGAGTTGTCTATACTCTCTGCCTCCACTTCGTTATCTCCCTCCCGGTCGCACTTTAGTCCCAGGCAGGACTAAGCCAGCGGTCTGGCTTCTCCCTTCATCTGTTCCACTGAAAGTGCTC